GATTTGGGATTATTATTATTATTATTATTATTATTATTATTATTATTATTATTATTACACTAGCAAATTCTGTAGCGTTGTACAATGGGATAGTGTGCAAGTAACAACTTTCTTTGGTTTTTAAAAATATATATTTTGCATAAACCATACTATCCAGATCTACATTGAAAGGGAGACTATAGAGCCAGGAAAACAAAAATGGTTGGAAACCACTGCTCTAAGCAATTTTTCAAGAGTATGAAAGTCTTGGAATTATTCACACTAAACAGATAAACTGTTTAAGCAATGTGCATTATATTAACCTGTATATACCATAGATTAAATTATTATTGCCACTTTGAACAATCATTGGCCAACAGGGAATCATTAACTCTGTTAATAGTAAATGTATTAGTTACCTATTTCAGGATAGGGCTGGCTTTCAAATATATAGTAAAGATTCTGGTTGATCATGGAAATTTAAAGATTGTAATCTTTATGACTGATAAAGACTAAACAGTAAGGATTAATCATATAGTGAAGAAAAGTTAATATATTGGTTCTCTAACGTTCTCTATGATTGCAATTTATCTTTCATTGTCCAAGTCAAATTGTTTGCAAATGTATAGCTTAAGGCGTAATCTCCTATGTTTTAGCCAAAATACCTAACCTTATAACACCCTCCCTAACCCAACATCCCCCTTGAAATAAATAACACAGACAACATACTGGGAGGTAAAGCCATTGCTGGCCACATTTATTGAATACATCACCATGCCATCATGGCAGAAAAACCATTCAAACTAACGGTAAGATATAAATAATAACCAAATTTAGCTAAGGTGGCGGCACTGAGGGCTACACTCCTCAGCCCACAAGAGGATGCGGCTTAACCTAAACCTGCAGCGGAGCACCCATTGCATCCTCCCAAGCAGAGGCATAAGGACAGCAAGGGAGAATCTCTGGTATGGCCACCTTATACGCAGACTGCAGGAGGGTGCCCCAGCCAGGCCTTTGCCCAAGAGGGAAAAAAGCTCAGCCTCCTTGCCGCTGTCACTCCCGCCCTCTCTCTCTGCACCATGCCGTTAAGCCGCACCCTCTCACGGTAGAGGGAACAGGAACCTTCAACCCAGGCGAGCCAAAGGTATCCTAGGGGAGAGACTACATTTAAAAGCCAGGGACTCAAAAGGCAAGTTCGACTAAACAGGCCTGTTCAGTGTAAACACCTGTTCTATCAGAAAGACATACCTCTTAAAAATTACATACCCTCGTCACTTCCGGTGACGCGGCCGCACCGGAAGTGACGTCCAACCAATAGAGGAGGAGGTGTGCCGCATCGCACAGGCGCACAACCTCCAGGTAGGGAATGTTAACAGCGAGCAGGGGAAATGCAATCAGGGCCTCCACCCCAACCTACTGATAGAACTAATGTAGAGAGGGCTGTGGTGCAAGAATTGTTTTCTCTCCAATAGCGCAAGAGTAGAGAAAAGTTAGATACCCATCTGTCGTACAACTTCCACGATGGGGATCCACTGTTTGGCCATTCTTGTAGGGTTGTATTTGTGAGCAGTGTTTGTGAATTTGAATGTAAGCCTGTTTTTGTATAGAGTATTTGTATATACTGTTACTATTGGAATGCAGCTGTGTACTTTTGTGTAGTGTTTGTGTTTGAATGCAGGGGTGTGTGTTTGTATGTAGTGTTGGCTTTTAAATGAAGTTGTGCTTTTGTGTATTGAGTTGGCGTTTGTATATAATTTTAGTGATTTATGTAACATTTGTAATTGCATGCAGGGGTGTGTGGATGTAGGGTTGTCTTTTACATGCAGATGTACATTAGTGTGTAGTTTAGTGAGTGAAGGGTGTGTTTGTATACAATTTTGGAGTTTGTATTAGGGGTGTGTTTGTATGTAATGATTGTTTGCTGTGGTGTTTGATTACCTGGATATATGCACATACATACACAGACACATATAGCCAGATACACAGACTGACACAAACACAGACAGATACACACACAGCCAGATGTACACTCACAGCCAGGTACACACACACATACACATTGACGTTGTGGCAGGCTTATGCAATGTATGATCATATACTGTAACTAAACCCCCATTATATTTTTTTGCCTAGATTAGGTGTTTTTAATAAAACTGAAAATTGTTCAGCATTAAAATGACTGTTTAGTAGATAAGCGAGTGCGCTGGATTTTCATTTTCACTGTACTTATTGTCCCCCAGCAGCACCCTAATTTAGCATGTGTAGGTGAGTGCAGCCAAACCCTTATTTTCACACACACATACAGCCAGATACACACACACACACACACACACACACACACACACACATACACACACACATACACATACACATACACATACACATACACATACACATACACATACACATACACATACACATACACATACACATACACATACACATACACATACACATACACATACACATACACATAGCCAGACATACATACATACATACATACAGCCAGATAAATACACACATATGCCCAGATGCACTCACTCAGACCCAGGTACAGGGGCGGACTGAGAACCCTCAGGGCCCCCGGGCAAAATAAATCAAGGGCCCCCTTACAGGCCCCACCCATACTCTGCAGCAAGCGCCACCCTTGTCCCGCCTCCAGCCACACCGTACACAATCTTTAGACACAAGGAACAAAAGGG